AAGTCATCCTACTTACGGAGTCGAGAGAAAAACCCATGCCTCCTCTTACTCGGAACATTCTTATCAGACTTCTTCGGCTTAGGCGCCTCCTCTGCAGGAGTCTTCGCTAAGGGTTCTTCCTTGCTGGGCGGCTCGTCCGGTTGATCCTGGACATTTGCGATAACTAGCCGTTGTAGCGCCATCATTAGGAAGTCGTGCCACACATCCAAAACATCGTCCACCCCTTCCCCGCCAAAGTAGTTAATCTGAAGATTGCTGCAGATCGTTTCCACAAGCACTTTGATCACCTGGTCTGTTTTGGCCTTTACGTCCTCTTCAGGGAAATAAGCTCGGATCAGCAGCATGAAGGTGTCTCGGAATACCTTGGCAAGCATTTCGAAAAAGGCATAATCCAGGTCGTTGTAATAGTAAAAGTATTGCCTGGAGAGAGTGCCTTCTTCGCTATCGCTCAAATCCTGTTTGGCTTCGTCGTCCACTTTGCAATCTAGCACATGGAGGTTGTAAAGAGCGTAGTCGGTGAGGGTAATGAAAAAGCGTTGAACGAGGTCCACCGGAGGTAGCCATTCGTTGTAATCTTCAGTGTGTGAGGCAGAACGGGCATCGTAGAAGACATTGTCCCAGAATGCCGAGGTGTGCCATAGTTTTTGGATACTGGTCTCACGATCGGGCTCGTTGTCGTACGAGTCGACCTTGACTCCATCTTTGAGCGCATGGTACGCAGTTCTTCTGTCCTTCAAGTTTTTCTTGACAAGTGCTTGGTCAACAACCAAGAGATTTTTTTTGCAAGATGCGCCAAAGAGATGGCAGTGGTTGTACGCATCGTAGTCCCATACCTTGGACCAGTACGCCGGTTTCGGCAGCAGATTGAGATGTTGGCTGATGGAGTCGTACGAGTCTTCGAATTTTTCAAGATAGGTGTATCGAAGAATGGCTATGGTTTTGGGATTAACGAAACGTTCATTTTGGATTTCGTAAAGATTGATGGCCTCGTTCTGTGGGTGGTTCCATATTTTGTTAGCGAGAACATCGAGTTTGTAGTCAAATTCCCACACTTTTTTGTCAAAAACCGTTTCTAGCTGTTCATCGAGCGCCTTGAGCTTTTTGGCATCGAATTGACCGGCCTTCACCGACAGCAGACCACGGAAACCGCTTCCCAGGGAGAAAAGGGATTGTTTGGAAGTTGTCGATCTTGTCGATCCGGTTCTCGTCAAAGCGTAAGGGTCTTGTTTCGAATGTTTCGTTTTGCGTGGAGTTTCCTTAATCAAACGCTGTTGCCCTGAGGCAGGGAGCATAAGCAAGGCAGACATTTTGGCCATTTTCAAAATCGTTGGGCCGGTAGGGCTTTTATGCAAAGTGAACGGCGGGAGATAAGCCACCGGTTATTTTAATTAGCGACTGTGTGGATCCACGGTACAAGCGCTTATCCAAAGAGAGAGGTGGGCTTTTTCACGTATGGCACGAACAGAAAAGAAGCAGAAAGATAGGAGAAGCGCCACAAAGAGTTTTAAACGGTGTAACCCCGGGTTCGTGCCACCCTCCAAAAACCGAGTTAGTGCACTCAGCGTAGAGGCGCCCAGCATATTGTTCTGATTACGGCAAATTACCTCAGGTTCCAGAGCCGTGTGCTGCGGCGGCTAAGCACAAAACCAGAGGAGGATACCATTGTAGTCAGGTACCCAGACGCGTCTGCATTGTTTAAAGTCTGGTGTAGCCTGGGGTTTTTCCAGATACGAATAGCGAGGTTGAAAAAATTTGAGGGGTCCAGGGTCCCGCAGGGGTAAGAAATATAGTTTCTGTTACGAGCCCGTCAGGAGACGAGTCGCGTGGAGATTAAGCGAGATCGGGGTCAGGACATCTCTGAAAAAGTTTTTGTGCTCAATGCAGAATACAGTAAATTGTCCACCTCTCCAGCCTATGAGCAGGCTGAACCAAGAGACGTCTTTATTCAACGGTGCAGATATGCCGCACGAGCGTTGTTAACAAAAAAAAAAAAAAAGGCGTCTCGCAAAACTAGCGAGAACGGCATTCCCTTTTTGTGCTCGGTAAAGATTGACCTCGACTAACGAAGTGGACGATTTGCGGTTAAAAGTGCCTTTTTTTCCCAATTGACAAACAGCGCTCGAGGCATCTGGCCGGCAGACTTGCAGATCGCTTGGCGTATGCAGATATTGTAAGGGGCTTATGGCAGCTTTCAGCCAAACAACACAATCGATGGCGTAGACACGTGTGGCGGTGTGATTGTACATATGGACTGCTGAACACGTCGGTAGTCTTTCCTATTGTGGGTGAATGTAGTTGTCCGGCAATAGCCGTGATTGTGGGTGTGTATCGCTTAGGTGTTGACGGGAGACGACCAAGATAACGTTCCTAGTGGGGATTGCAGCTCAATGAGAAAAATAAGTGTTTCAACGCACGCTTGCAGCACTTGAGGCTCATAGAGATGAAAAAATAAAAAAGTAACTCCGATACGGGGAATCGAACCCCGATCTGCTCGGTGAGAGCGAACTGTGCTAGCCATTACACCATATCGGACTTGTTGGAAATTTGGAAGTGCGGGTCTACTAAGTTCTGTGCAACACCGGCTATATCTTGCTCTCAGGTTCGCAATTTTTCTTCAATAAAAGACAAAAGTAGCTTTTAGGAGTTATTCTTAGCTGAGGTATCATCTGGGGGCGTTTCAACACGAAAGGATGAGTATGAAATTTGCATTTAAGGGCCTGTATCAGTTGTGCTTCTTCGTGGTCTTCTGGGAGGCTATGATGATCAAATTATCTACCATAAGCTTAGCCATACAACTATCGGGGCCCATGGAGAATTCCTCACCAATTTCGGTCTGCTGGAGGTCAATTTCAAAGAAAATGATGCAAATTATACGAATCTTCAAGTTGGACAGGTTCCAGCTTTGGACTTCTTTTCAGTTTGCCAAATGTCCACCCATATCTCTTTCAAGCTGCTTTACGAATGTAGCACGATATCTTTGCCGAAATTCCCATTTCAGCAGAAGACATTTATTCTTTACCTTCGTCCAAACCAATTCCCCGATGGCTCTTTCCAACCTTCAGTTGCACCCATGTACCCCCAAGTAGTATAGGGCTTCAGCCCTAGTTCACGTGGATGTCCCGCTGGCACGCGGCCACCACCTTGAGCACTGTGCTATATGCCGTCGGGAGCGACGAAGAGCTATAGGGTAGGCTGGGAAAAAATTGTATGGGGACCTGCATCTAGACCACTGACCGGCCTCCCACCAGTGCGACTCACTCGAGTGTAGGAAAACTGGAAAAAAAAAAGAAAAATTTGTATCCCTACCTCAACAACCTTCAAGTACTCCACGCCAATATGTTGATGCCAAAGGACGACAGAAAGAAGATCCACCAGTACCTCTTCCAAGGTATGTAAATTATAATTCCCGAATTCCCCAGTTCCCATTTGAGCCTTGAAGCTCCATTGCTCCATGAGATACCAGAAGATGTGAAGCCGTCGACAAGCTCATTGCTGATCGAAGCGGAAGCACTATGAAACGCTTCGATTCAGTCTGCTTGTGAAGCTTGTGGGTTTTTGTTTACACCCACTAGTCAAGGACAGCTTTTACAACCCATCTTCAATTTCATGAATCGGTAGTCTGGGTTCCCCAAACTTTATACTAACAAAACAGAGGGTGTTGTTGTTGCTGAGAAGGACTTCAACAAGCCAAAGCACGAGGAGATTGACACCAAGAACTTGTACGTCATCAAGGCTTTGCAGTCTTTGACCTCCAAGGGTTACGTCAAGACCCAGTTCTCTTGGCAATGGTACTACTACACCTTGACTGACGAAGGTGTTGAGTACCTCAGAAACGAGTTGAACATCCCAGAGGGTATCTTGCCTATGACCAGATTGAAGGGTGCTCCAGCTCAGAGACAGAGACCTGCCTCCAGAGGTGGCCCTCAGAGAAGATTTGGTGGTGACTCCTACAGAAGAAGAGCCAGAGATTAAGCATGCATCATACGGACCATACCGTATCCTGGCTTGATGTTATTTTGTATACTTTCCATTTCTAATAAAGAAACTTAAGAAATGAAATGTAGCATGAGGTAAATGTGAAGTTGGTGAATTGTGGAAAGGAAGTGATTGGTTTCCCATAGGAAACTTTTAATCCAAAAACCAAATGTGATCCGTATGAACACGAGAAACCCTTCGTTTAATTCTACACTCACTGATCTATATAGCTACCCCACTGTTCTTTCCCAAGAAACTTGATACCGGCCCTATGTTAAAATTAATGAATGAAATGGCGATAAACAAGTGCTGGAAGCTTCCGCCATTCTTCCCTTAAGGCGAAGAAGTACATTCAACAATAGACTCAAAGAAGCTCTCTAATGTGCCAGGCCTTACCCCAACAGCCCCTTTTCATTCCCAGTTGAAGCAATTACAGCATACACGATACTGACGGGTGGCATTACTTCAATTAGCACTCGCTCGCCTCTTTTTCTCAAATGTAGTATTTATACATGCTATCACTCGAGAGATTATGCTGCAAAATTATGTGGCCAAGCGAGTAGAATGAGAGCATTGTGCTCGCCAGCCAGACGCGTACCGTGTAATGCAAAATATCATAATTTGAAGAAGTCTCGCTCGAAGGAGGGCTTTTTTACCGTCATGCCTCTTTAACGGTATTTCATGTTGCAATGCTGAACCGGTCTCGCCAATTTCTATTTTTATGTGCTAAGCCTACGCTTGGGGTCTCGGGGTCTGATAGAGTGAGACTAGGTGCGAGGCGTATTTCCTAAAAAGGAAGACAAACGGCGGCACTCCAACCAAAGAACAAAACAATATACTTTTCACAATACGCCAGTAACTCCACCCATAGGCATTTTCTACATATTCTCCCCCATCAATATAGCAGACTACTTCTTCCCCGGCGTATCTTTACCCATGGTGGACTGCACAAACCATCTATACCACGCTCTCTCACGCACGCCAATTCACGTCTACTACTTTTCTTCTATTTCTTTCAATCCACCATGAACTCAGACGACTTACCGGTGTATCCGACGCCACAACAAGCGACATATGTTGTTGGAGGCAATCAGCAATCACATAGTCTGTCACATCAGCTGTCTGGTCGCAGAAACCACAGTTCGTCTCAGCAACCCCCCAGACACCAAAACCCGCCCCACAACTACAAGAACTCACTGTCGGGCTCGCTACCGGCACCAGGCCCATATTCCACACAGCCGGGCCTGTCTTATCTGTCATATCCGCCGCCATCTCGCCCTGGTTATCAACAACCTCCTCCTCAGCAGCCTCAGCAGCAGTACTATCAACAGTACGCCTCGCCCCCGGCTCAGCAGCCATACACACAGCCCCAGTACTATCTGCACCAGCAACAGCCCCAAAACTATAGACCTCAATACTCGCAAGCACCCCCTCAGCAGCAGCCCCAGCCTCAACCCATGCCCAGCCAACCTCTGTATGATCAGTACATGTCGCCCCAGCAATCCCACGCTGCCCCTCCCCAACACCCACAGCAGCAACTGCGTCAAGTCTCGCTGAACCTGCAGCCTCCAGCCCAGCCGTACGGTCATTCGTCGGGCTCGCCTCAAGTTGCCAATGCGTCTACACTGAAGAAGGCGCCGGGCCTGTGGCAGGGCCAGAACCGCTCGAAAGAGAATGTTCTGGAGACGACAAAATTATCTAGCAAGCAGCGTCTTGAGGCCGAGTTGCGTTCCACTTTCGACAGAGTGGATGTTAACCACCTGGGTAGAATTTCTGCTCGAGAATTGTCTATGGCGCTCTTGAATTTTGATAATACTCGTTTCCAAGAATCGACCGTGCGTCTCATGCTCAAACTCTTCAGTTCTGGGTCTTCCACGTCCAAGGGACTCAACTTCGACCAATTTGTTTCTTTGTGGAAGTATTTGACCGCCTACAAAAAGCTCTTTGTGGCTGCTGATCTGAATAAATCTGGTGACATTTCTTTCGGTGAATTCCAAAGAATTCTCGAACAGATTGGCTACAAACTCAATGTGGATCTTGTGCTCCACCTCTTTCAAAAATTCAGCAACAAGGAATCATCATCAGATGGTACTTCAGTCGGAAAACTCAAATTTGACGCCTTTATTGAGTTACTCGTCTATCTTCGGAAGCTCACCGATATCTTTAAGCAGTATGACAAGGATCTCTCAGGTGTGGCTACAATCAGCTACCTGGACTTTTTGCTTGAAATCAGCAACCTCAGTTAATTACACACTGCAGACCTTCGATCGACTTTTTGCATTAGATTTTATATCTGCTGCAAAGGTTGTACTCTGAAGGACTGTATGCTCGAACAGGGCACATACTCGCGCGCATACTATGCCTGAGTCATGGTGAAGAGTCTCTAATTTTTCAAACAGCCTACAACCTCTGAACACTATGCTTCAGCACGCCCGCCTCTCGGCATCTTTTCTTAGAAGCGGGGCATTATCACTTCGCTCGTGTACTTTAAAAAATACATTTACAACATCCGCATCTGCGGCCCAATCCAAGTATCCAGAACTCAAAGATGTCGAGTTCGATGCGGAGGGTAATCCAGATTACACCAAATTGATCTTGACATCCAGAGTATATGATGTTGTCGACAAGGGTGGCTCTCCTTTGACACATGCTGTCAACTTATCACACCGCTGCAATGCAAATGTCCATCTTAAACGTGAAGATCTCTTACCCGTGTTCTCGTTCAAGTTGCGTGGTGCCTATAATATGATAGCCAAATTGCATTCCAATCCAAACATTCCACTTAATGGTGTCATTGCATGCTCTGCTGGTAATCATGCCCAAGGTGTGGCCTATTCTGCAGCCAAGCTCAACATCCCATCCACCATTGTCATGCCTACCGCTACCCCTTCCATCAAGTATTCTAATGTCTCGAGACTTGGCTCTCAAGTGGTTTTGTACGGTGAGGACTTTGACGCTGCCAAACAAGAGTGTGCTAGATTGAGTGAACTTGACAACTTGACCAACATCCCTCCCTTCAACCATCCTTACGTCATTGCAGGTCAGGGTACTGTCGGATTGGAATTAACAACCCAGCTTATCTTGGACGATTTGGATGCAGTTTTCATTCCTGTTGGTGGCGGTGGTTTGATCGCCGGTGTTGCCGCTTATTTGAAGACTGTCGCTCCTCACGTCAAAATCATCGGAGTTGAGACATTCGATGCCGACGCTTTGTACCAATCGTTAAAGAATAAGAGGCTGGTGGAACTTGACTCTGTGGGAGTATTCGCCGATGGTACCGCAGTTAAGATTCTTGGTGACGAGACTTGGAGAATTTGTCAGGAGTACGTTGATGAGGTTGTTCGTGTTGACACCGACGAGCTTTGTGCGGCTATCAAAGATGTCTTTGAGGACACCAGGTCCATTGTGGAGCCATCGGGTGCCCTTGGTGTTGCTGGTATGAAGAGATACATCGCAGACACCGCTGGTAAAGTTGACCACAAGAAGAAGACTTACGTGCCTATCCTCTCAGGTGCTAACATGAACTTTGACAGATTGCGTTTCGTGAGCGAAAGAGCTGTTCTTGGTGAAGGAAGAGAGGTCTCCTTTGTCGTTTCCATTCCAGACAGACCAGGTGAGTTCGTTAAGCTACAGAAACTCATCCATCCAAGGTCCATTACAGAATTTTCCTACAGACTCGTGAATGCTGACCATCCTGCCAACATCTACGTCAGTTTCAATGTGCTTAACAAGGCCAAGGAGGTTCCTGCTATCATCGAAGCCATGACAAACAATGAGCACAACTTTACGGTTCTTGACATCTCCAACAACGAATTGGCCAAGACCCACGGCCGTTACCTTGTCGGTGGAAAGCCAACCGATCACACCCTCAAGCCTGGACAAGAAAAGTTGTATCAATTCGAGTTTCCCGAAAGGCCTGGTGCTTTAACAAGATTCTTGGAAGCGTTGAAGGACAATTGGAACATCACTTTGTTCCATTACAGAAACCACGGCAACGATGTGGGCAAGGTTTTGTGTGGTTTCGTCCTTCCAGAGACAGCCACAGAGGAGGAGTTCCATGAGTTTTTGAAGCAAATTGGCTACAAATATCAGGACGAGACAGACAACATCATTTACAAGAAATTTTTATGTAACTAATTCGTTTGGGGGATTATTGGGGCTAATAAAATTTTATCGCAGTTAATATATTTACAGTGGTATCTAATTAGCGACGTAAGAAAGCCTGGTACGCCTCATTGTTGATATGAACACGTCCTGAAGCCTTCATTTGTTTCTTTCCTTCCTTCTGCCTCTCCAACAATTTTTTTCTTCTAGAGATATCAGCAGCATGTAATCTCTGGGTGACATCCTTCCTCTTTGCTTTAATGGTCTCTCTTGCAACGACTTTATTCAGAACTTTAGCTTGAATCGCAACTTCGAAAAGTTGAGATTTTAGGAATTCCTTGAAGCGGGCAACGTATTCCCTTCCTCTCGATTGGGACTGTGATTTGTGAATGATTTGCGTCAAGGCATCTTGAGGCTCACCGTTGACACAGAGCTCTAACTTCACAACGTCTGAATTCTCGTAGCCAGCGTCTTCATAATCCAAGGAAGCGTAACCTTTGGTGAGACCCTTGAGCTTTCCGAAAAAATCCTCGACAAGCTGTGCCAACGGAATGTCGTATTTGAGAAGAACTTGGCCTGTTTGCAAATATTCCAACTCCTTTTGGACACCTCTCGAACTCTCGCAAAGGGACATGACGGTTCCCACATATTCGTCAGGAATCGTCATGATGGCAGTGACAAATGGCTCCTGGACCTTGTCGACGTTTTGCCTATTCTCCACTCCTGGGAACTCAGAAGGGTTGGAGATAATCTTCTCTGAGCCATCTCTGTAGACGATTTTGTAAGGCACAGTGGGTGCCGTCAAGATAATTTTTGCACCGTACTCCTTTTCTAGTCTTTCCTGAAACACCGATGCATGGAGGGATCCTAGGAACCCCAATCTCCAGCCAAGTCCTAAAGCGTTGGATGTCTCTTTCTGCAAAGTGACAGACCTGTCATTAAGAACAAGGTGCTCGATATGGTCGTTCATCAGTTTGAATTCTCCACCATCAGCGGGGAATGCACCAACAAACACCATCGGTTGAGGTTCCTCAAAGCCTGGAAGTGGCTCCAACCCTTCATGATTGCCATTTTGAAAAAATGTATCTCCAATCATGGCTTCTCTAGGGTTACGCATACCGGGAATGATATAGGCAACCTGACCTGCTCCGACTTTGCTCATGGGGAGCTTATCCGGGTACATCACACCAACCTCCTTGACCTCATACTTTTTGTTCGTGTGGGCTGAAACCAATTTCATGCCCTTTCGGATACAACCGTCCTTCACATACATAAGCATCACCACCCCAACGTATGGATCGTGCCATGAGTCGACAAGTAGGCCTCGTAACTTACCTTCTGGATTCCCATCTGGAGGAGGAATGTCTCTCACAATGGCTTCTAGAATATTTTCAACATTAAGGCCGGTTTTGGCACTCGCGGGAATGCAGTCCTCTCTATCCAATTCGAAGGTTGTTTCGACTTGGTCCATTGCACGAGGTATATCTGCGGCATCCAAGTCAATTTTGTTGATAACTGGGATAAGCTTAAGTCCCATGCTATATGCCAAATAGAAGTTTGCCACAGTTTGGGCCTGAACGCCTTGTGAAGCATCTACTATCAATAGCGCACCTCCACAAGAAGCGTATGATCTAGACACCTCTGCACGAAAATCCACATGACCAGGTGTATCGACCAAATGCAATAGGTATTCTTCCTTCGTTTCTGGGTGTTGGTAGAACATCATACATGTTTGGGCCTTGACGGTGATGCCTCGTTCTCGTTCCACATCTAGCTTATCGAGAACTTGTTTGTTGGATCCTGGCTCAATGACGCCTGTGATCTCTAAAAGTCTATCTGAAAGTGTTGACTTGCCATGGTCCACATGAGCAACAATACTGAAGTTCCTATAGTTTTCTAGTGGGATCTTGTCAATCTTGTCGTAGACCCACTTTATATGATTGTCTTTATCTAGACTGATCTTCTTGTCTTGCGTAGCTGCAGTCTTTGGTGTCGATAGTAGAGCCGTCGATTTATGGAAATATCTAGTAGCAGGCTTTCTGAAGGTGGCCCTGAGCGACCCTCGTAGCATTTTCAGAATCATCGCTACTTGGATACACTTATGCAACTGCATTTTTCAGTGCGCATCTACATTTGCACCCATCGATGCCTAAAATGATAACCTTAATTTACATACTTTAAGCCTTGTGGGAGGCGGCAAACTCGTTGATGCAATCAACCAAAAGTTCGACACTGTGGGTAGAAACGGCATTGTAAATCGAAGCTCTGATACCGCCAACAGATCTGTGGCCCTTCAAACCAGTCAACTTCTTGTCCAGGGCCTTCTTGAGGAACTCTTCGGTCAATTCCTCAGTAGGCAAAGTGAAGACGACGTTCATGCGGGAGCGCACAGCATGATTCTTGACAGGCAAGTTGAATAAACCGGAGTGTTTGTCCAAAGCACCATACAAAATCTCTGCCTTGTGGGCGTTCGTCTTCTCAATAACTTCAATTCCACCCTCCTTGATGAGCTTGTCAGTAACAAGCTTCAAGATCTGACATGTGAAGATAGGAATGGTGTTATAGGCAGAGTTGTTTGCAACGACAGTTGGGTAGTGGAAAGCAATGGGGCACAAGGGAATATCAGCCTGCTTCAATTCGTCGTCAGATGCTTGTTCAAGTAAAGACTTTTTAACAATGTAGATCGTCAAGCCAGCCAAACCGAGGTTCTTCTGGGCACCGGCCATGATCACACCGTACTTGCTCACGTCAATGTCCTTAGACAAGATGTTGGAGGACATGTCAGCGACCAATTCAACACCTTCTGGCAAATAAGAGGAGTCTGGAGTAGACCTGAACTCATTACCGTGAACAGTCTCGTTGTCGCAGAGGTATAAGTATGCCGTTGACTCTTTGTCAATTGGCTTCCATTCCGAAAATGGAGCAATGTCACCGAACTTTTTATCCTTGCCATTGAACACGACATCCACGTCAAATCCCAAACGCTGAGCCTCCTCGGCAGCCTTCTTCGACCAGCCACCAGTCACTGCATAAGCAGCCTTGCCCTTCTTGAGGTTGTTCTTCTTCGCGTAATGAGCCATCAAGTTGTAAACGATAGATGAGAAGCCAGTGGTACCACCACCTTGCATGAAGAAGATTTCATGGGTGTCTGGGACATTGATAAGCTTCTTAATGTTGGCTTTCGTATCGTCAATGACCTTAATGGCGGGCTTCGAACGGTGCGAGATCTCACCGATACCCAAGTTCTGTCCATCGTAGGAAATCAAGTCCAATGCGGCCTGTTTGAGGACATCAGAGGGTAACAAAGCAGGACCAGCACCGAAGTAATGGGGTTCTTCACGCTCCAAAATTGACATTGTGCTGAAACTTCAAGTAGGTAGTATTAGAATAATTAGTGCGCGAACGAGTCATTGAGTCACCCATGACAGGTACCGGTCGCATCGCTTATGCTAATCCTCCATATCCCTGATCTTGACCCCACTAAGATAGTAAAGTACCTCAACGTCGTCAGTGTCGTCGAGTAAGCAATGTAGCACACACGCCTCCTGGTGGCACATGAGAAATATGATGGTTTTGCAGGTGCTGACAATCTTGGATGCCATTTTCCAATCTTTGAGCTTGACCACGACTTCCGTGTCTTCCGAATCATCTTGATCGCAATCGTCGTCTTGTGGCTCAGCAAGTGCCTGGGCTCGAAGGCTGTCAGTGTCTAAGTCAGGGACTTTTGGCTTCTGGACATCCAATTTATCGTTCCACCGAATCGTCACTCTAAACTTACCCTCTTCGTGAAGAACGAAGCCCAAGTAGCCCCCTCGTCTTCTACTCGCCTTGATAGTGACTAGATCGCTCGCTAGATTCTTCTTGAACTTATCAAGACGCTTGTATGTGGAAGAAAACTCGTTGGGTAGACGCATCATGAGGTCCACTTTAGGAAGCTCAGGCTCCTGTAGTAGATCTGAGGATCCTTTGAGAATCTTGACGGGAATTCTAAAGGTATGATTAATTGTGTTGGCTGTGGTAGTGAGATCTGAGTAGTAGAGAGCCAAAGAAGCCGTTCTGCCTCCCCCACTGGTAGTACCATCCGCTGACGCCTCCTTCCTCTGAAGCCTAATGCTCAAGTCATGACTGTCAGCCTTTTCAAAGTTCTTGAGTGTTTGAAGAAATAGCTCAATGTTTATCTCCAAAAGCACCACGTCATTTCGAAGACTTTGAATCTCGATCTCGTTGAAGATGGCCAGCATCTTGAACTTGCACCACACCTGGGGTTCTTGGTTTAAAGACGTGTCTTTCACGGAGATTGCTAAAAGTTGCTCGGGACTAAACCTCAAGACCACGAATTTTCTTAGGCTGCTAATTTGGGAGAAGCATATTTTGAGTGTTTCGGTGCTTTGTGTACGTAGTTTGAGCTTCATACTATCTAAGATTTCCAGTGCGCCCTGCGATGTACGCTTCTGTCAATGTCTACAATCAGGCTACGATGAGTTTCGATAAACGATTTAATAATACATCATTTTTTATTGCAATGACCGCTGCCTGGAATATAAATGAAGTCTAGAGGTTTTTGTCATTCCAGGATGCTAAGGTTTGTCCCTCTAGATTGGAGAATGCTGAATCAGAATAGATTGACGTGATTAACCGTCATCTCTCTCTCCGTGTTATCTCGCCTCTGGCAGGTTCGAGCTCTGGCATATTCTCAAAGGAGTTGCTCAACCATATGACAAGGGATAGAGCCACTTCGCCAATCTTCTTAAACTCTCAAAATAATAATAATAGAATCTCCTCTAAGGAACATCTTCACAATATATCTCTCCTTCGATGTTGTCTTGATGACCTTGCCTTTGCTGTTTTTCGTCGTCTCCGTCCAAAGCTCCTTCACGTCCTCGAGAATGAGGTTGCAGTGTCTGTCGAATGCTTTCACCTTTGCAAGTAGCTTGTGGTTATTTCTGCAATGTATCATGACGGGGCTGCCGCTTTTAATAGAGTTTTGTATGAGCGATAATGGTCCATGATTGAATTCAAAATCTTCTAGTTCTTGAAGCTCACTCTCAGTAAGTTCTGCGCGAGGACGATCTATAAGCTCACTATAGTTAGTATTGTGAACGGAAAAATTAAAAAAGTTGTTCTTGGAATTGCTAACATACGACATGTTTGTATATATATGGTGCTAAACTTCCTGACTTGCAACGATGGCGCACTGCTTGATGTCTCTCGATATTGCCCTCTATGCACGAATCAACATACACTCTGGTTGGGTTCATCATTATTCATTAAATACAGATTTTTAATGGGCCATCAAGCAGAGGCTATTTTTTCTGGATAGCTCAATGGAGCTGCTAGCGTGGCCCCTCTTTTTACGATATTCTCAACTCTGTCTTTGAGAACTCTTGATCCGCACGCAACCTCGAGCTTGTTGAGATCAACAGTGGCCTCGTTCTTACCTATGGTTATGACAACCTGCTTGCCATCATTTTTAGTTATGGAGTCACCAAACTGTGACTTCAACAAGGAAACAATTCTCTTGATCCTGCTCGTGATAGTACTATCTGCGTGGGCTCTTCTAGGTGTATCCTCCTTCACCATATCTTCATCCTCTTCTTGCTTAACATGACCATGCGAACAGTGCTGAGATGTCATCTTGACGGAGACAGGAGACGAGTCGATGGATAGAAGAATGGCAACAATGCTATCGGCGAGAGAGTCTCCCATCAAATTGTCGTTAAGCCACTCCACGGTAACGTTCAACGCACCTGCTGACTCCACCTTGTTGGCAGTGATGTAGACAGTGTTCATAATGGTACATTCCCAGGTTTCATTATCGTCGTTCACCACATTGATGTAGCCAAACATTTGTTCCAAATGCCACTGTACCAAAGAAACATTCGCATGCACCTTAAGTTTTGCGTTGGATTTGACCGTCGACGTCGTGAGCTGCGAATACTCAGGCAAGTCGTCAAGACTCATTATATTCATGTCGAAGTCCTTAGATATAAGCACTCCTGAAAGTCTAACGCCAGTCTTGATGACCTTTTTATCAGACTCATCCTCACCGCCTGCCTTACCATCCTCCTTCTCGTCTTTGTCTCCCTCCTCCTTTTCAACTTTCTCGTCAACCTCTTCAATTTTGGGCTTGGTTTGGGCCTCCTGGACCGCCTTCTTTATTAATTCCATATTGGTCTCTGCAAGATGGCCAACAACTTTGGCCAACTTCACACCCTTGAATCCAATTGTGACCTCCTCGCAATTTCTAGGGTTGAACACCTTAACTTCTTCGTCCGTTCCCTTCCTGCTCAGGTACTTACTGAGCAAAGCCGATTTGAGTCTTCCCATGGGGTTACTGTCACCATGTACCAAAATGATCTTTTTAGGACTCACTTCATCTATAAAACCCGAGTTCTCGATGAAATCTACATGAGCTGCGAAGGATATCTCATCGACAGAGATACGTCTGGGGATATTCATCTCGGGGTTGTTGATCGATTGGATGGCGGCTGGCTCACGAAGGAGGTCTTTCGCCATAGTTCCCTCCACGGAATAACCCGTCATAATGACTGCGTTCTTTGGATCTGGTGCCCACCTTTCTAAAAGCTGACGGGAGACACCACTCTGCAACATACCTGGAGATGCTACGACCACACATGGGCCAATGTCGTGAACTCTATCCACACTTTTGATTGATTTGATAAACTTGAAATCAAATGGGTTTGACTTGTGGGAGCCAGCTGCGTTCACCTTGATGCTGTCATTCATGATGCTAGTGTATGTTTGATACACAGCCATACATTTTCGGGCAAGGTTAGAGGCGTAGTATATATTGATGTTCTGGATGTCCTTGTTTTGGGACCAGTACTCCTCCAATATAAGAAGCAACTCCTGAGCTCTTCCCAAGGCGAAAACGGGCATGAGAATACGGCCACCCTTGAGAATTGTTGAATGGATTAATTTCATCAAACGAGATTCCTTTTCGAGTCTAGGTTCGTGTGTGGCAGTACCAAATGTTGATTCCGTGATCAAAACATCTGGTCTTGTGGGCGGAACCTCCGCAACCTTCAAATGACGATCCTCTTCTCTAGAGTAGTCACCGGTGAAGAGTACCTTGAGACCTCCAACTTCAACGAAGTACATGCATGCACCAAGAACATGACCAGCGTGGTAAGCTGTGAAATGGATACCATCAACCTCAATAGTTGAATGATAATCTATTGTCTCGATCCTGTCGAATGATACCATCAAGTCTTCATCTGTATAAAGATTGGCAGAGCCTGAGGCATTAGTCAAGTTGTTCTCAGACCTAGCTTCATCACCTCCTCCAGTCATGGATGTCACTCTAACGAAATCCGAAAGTAACCAACGGTAGATGGCTTTTGTGGCGTGAGTCATGAAAACACGACCTTTGAAGCCAGTTTGTTGCATAACATATGGCAACGAAGCAGCGTGATCCAAATGGAAATGACTGATCAATAAAATGTCGACCTTTGATAGGTCATATTCGTCAAAGAAAGGCAAGGAGTTCATTCCACTGAGTCCTGGATGGACACCAGAATCCAACATGATGACTTTATTTTTGTACTCCAAAATATGGGAGGATCTGCCCACCTCATTGCATCCTCCCAACCCAAAGAATTTGAAGTTATCGGCGGGATCTTCACTTGGGTTGTCGATCGCCATAGTTGTAAGGGGCCAGGTGAAAGATGGTGATGGATGTCTTCAGACTGAGTAGGTGAGTGTTTGAAGTTTAGCAGTGTGCAGGTCTGTCAACGCTTTTGACGTGTTTAACACAAATTACTTAGCAATTGGTTATTTAGAGATTTCAAGAATTACAGTTAAAATATGATGATAATAAAAATGTTATTTATGTCAAAGTTTTATCTTTATGTAAGTGCAAAATTGGTCCGCTGCATATTTCTACGCATTTGAAGACGCACCATGGTGGGTTGATTGGCTGCAAAATGTCGCGCCAACTACGACAATATTCTACGACGATAGGTTCAAATCAATTGTTCATTGTCAATAACGATCATCAACGTAAATACATTTAGTTCTGGGAACCACCGTAGCAAGACTCGTTCTGCTTCTTACGGATGTCAATGACATTCAAAACAGACTCAGCAGCCTTGACACCAGAAAGAGCCATGGCACCGAAGGTTGGGCCCATTCTGTTGGAACCGTCAACCTCAGCCAACTCCATACCGGCAATGACCAAGCCAGGAGCGACCTCTCTGGTACCCTTGACAATGGCGTCCTCGGCCTTGTTCATGTCAAGACCTCTCATACCACCCAACTCGAATGGCTCGTTGGCGCTCTTTGGTCTCAAGCTCTCCAATCTCTTGGCACAGAAAGCACCGAAAGGACCGTCGTGACCAGTGGTGGAAAGAACGACGTTAGCGTTAAGGGTGTTAGGGTCCATACAAGACTGGGTGTCGTGGTTCAAGGTAACCAAGGTCCAGTTGGTAACGACACCAGCGATTCTCAATTCGCCGGTAGATTCGTCACGACGGGTGATCAAGTCCTCAACAGCGGTGGCGTTGAACAACTTAACGTTAGGGAACTGCAAAACCTTGGACATCAAGGTGGACATGAACAAAGCAGCGTGCTTGACAACGACGTAGTCGCCCTCGTCCTCGTAAGCAATCTCCAATTCGTCCAAGAACAAGTTGGCTGGCTTTCTCATGACCATAGCAGAGAACAATTGACCGCCCAACCAGCAACCACCACCTGGAGAGACAGAGGCCTCGATGATAGCGATCTTCAAGTTTGGTCTGTTCTTGGCCAAGACATAAGCAGCAGACAAACCGGCGGAACCAGCACCGACAATAACAATGTCAGACTCAGTGTACTTGTCCAAGTCGTTGAAGTATCTCTTGGTCATAGCTCTAGAGACAGTAGACTCTCTGATTGGGGCAAAGTTGAACTTCTCCCAGTCAGCGAAGCTGACCTGAGTGTCGTTAGCACCAGAGTCGAGACGAACGACTGGAGTCTTGAGGTTGCCGACAGAGCCGACAGGCTTCTGAACCATAGTTGGAGGAGACATGATTAGTTGATAAGATTTATGAAAAAAGGTAGAGAATTGTGGCAGGTGGGCGGAATTTATATTCTGGGTCTACCCGAAAAATGTCCGAAAACAATTGGCAAGGAGTGGATACCAGCCTCCCATGTACGTTGGGTTGGCAGGGCCGACCAATCAGAAATGCCATGGACCAATTGATTGGGCTAATTCAGCGGGAGCCCCTTGGATCTGTAAACGCATATTCTGTTGAGCCTAAGACATTTGAGAGAGGACCGTCCCGACAGGAGACCCTGTAACTGCATGAGACGCATGTCAATGGGTGCAAAATGACAATGTGCACGCTGCCGATGCAAAACCCTCCTCAGAGCCCACCGGTAATTGTCTCACGCATAGGCTTCATAAGCGCATGGCTGCAACTCCCTTACCCAGACCTGCTGCTTATCTGAGTCGCCTATGCTACATTTGCTAAATTGCTCGACTCTCACCCTTAACCCTGAATTGCACAAGCGGGGGAAGTTGGTTCTAGATGCAAACTCGCCAGGACTTTCCGCTCTCTCAGTGGCTATCGGCCCCGTTTTGCTTGCTCTTTTCGTTGAAGCTTTTGAAGTAGCGATCCCGGAAATGAGTTACCTGATCGAGTCGCATGCCGTTATGAGTTACGCCCTTGTACGTCTCATCCCTCTTGACGTACACTACTAAACGACGTGACCATTTGTTGAACTCCTGCTCGAGCACGTACAAAAGCTCAAGACGCTCATGCTGAGGAATATGGTGTTCGGCATATTCATCATTGGCAGTGGGCATCCAAAACGCTAGCCGCCCACCTACAGGCATTCTGGCTGCGGCGAACCGGAGTAAGTCGTCCAAAAGACTAGGGAGGTCGTAGGGCTTTTTTGATGCAATGTAGTCTCGGCGTTTAAAGCCCAATTCCCCTTCCACCACGTTGTTTTCTCTCCCTGCTGCTTTTTCAGGGTCTTTGGCTCCACAAACCTTAAGACCCTCGCGCACGCCGTAGGGAGGATCACATACTATCGTGTCTATGACAAAGTCCTCTCTAAGCGCATTATTAGTGAAGTCCATCGTCCACAAATCAATGAACTGCAGGGCGGTTCCATACTGGCGGAAACTCGAAAGAAGGTTGTTAGAGCCCTTGCCCCTAACTGACCGGGCGTCAATGTCCGTGCCGATGGGGTATCCTCCGAAAAAGGCGCCTGCAACCAAGAAAGAGCCTGTGCCGGTGAATGGGTCGTACAAGACTTTGCCTGGCTGTACCTGTGCAACGTTGCAGCTGACTAGTGCTAGCTCGGCGTCAAAGGACGTTGTGCCAATGTACCGCCGTTTTTTGAGATCATATTTTTCCACAACCCCCTCGGCCCTGGCGCTGATTTCAACCTGTCTTCCGAACCAAAGGTACTCGGGCTTCTCCGCCCTTTCTTGGCCAGACACAAAGTACTCTTCTAGTATGGCAAAAATCACCTCGGGATTTTTCAATCGTATTTTGCCTTCGAAGCCGAGGTATCTGAATGTGTCGATGGTCTCGATCTTTTCTTCCGTTGTTTTAGCTCCCATGAAGCTGACAAAGTCGAATCTGAAGGTGTTGTGCTTGTAGGTGGAGAACTTGTCGGTGGACTGTTTCTGTACACTTTCGTGAAGCTGGTCCAAGTCTGAACCCTCACCCCAGAGCTCGTAGATCCCCTTGGCAAGAATGGACCGCTTTATGAGTTTTTTCGCCTGCTCATCGTCTTCAAGTTGGACCTTCAAAAACGGTTTCTTCTCATCGTGATGGCGAAGGTCCACTTGGATGCCATGTAAATCAGCGAGTGACTCTAGCTCGGCTACCCTGAAATTTGGGAAAGCTTGGGCAAAGCTTATTATGTACTCTTTCATGACTTGAAGACTCGAGATCTGAGATGCGATGGAGACGCAGGTAGAAGTATGTAGGTGCGCATCGACCCCAGGTGAGTACTTGGAAAAGAGGTCCAGTCAGCCAAAGGCTCTTTTTTTTAGCCTTCTAAGAAGCGTTTCGATTCAATTTGTTGCTAGAACTTCACATTTGGACTTTTCATTACCTATTTGTTTTCGATTTATATTTTTAGAGAATATATCATTTTTTGGGACAAACGCGGATCTGACTCAATTGTTGCAAACTCAATACATTTGTCAACCTTCATGCGATTTAATCCCCTAAAAAATGAGATGTTGATAAAACAAATACATGTCTTTGAACTGATATATTCTGATGTTAATGATACTGATCCTGTTTTTGATTGAATACATCCTTGTGATCACAACTGTGCAAGCACTAGATCCCAAGAGATCCTTAAATGGAGAGTAATGTATTGGTATTCATAACAGGCCGCTCAGATTGTTGATAAGGCTGGTTTCTTCATGTGAATATACATTGCACAAGCATGACGAATGAGTCAATTCCGGGACAATGCTGATGGGAAAGCGATTTTCAGAGGTCTCTCTACTCTGGATCAATTTGAAATTGACTCAGTTCACTAGAAAGAAGTTGATCACAATTATAATCAATGGAAGCATTAGGCTGGGTTAATTGGTCAAGGAAATATCAAGTCTGAAATACGAAAAATGCCCCAAAAAGGGCTTAAATGGCCGAATTTGTAACCTTTTAGCTCAGAAACATAATTATTAAGCCATAAGCTTACTAATTATACATTAAATGACCAAAAATATTGTCATTTTGACCCCTAAATTGGCATGATATATTAAACCAGCATGTAGCAACATCCAGTAAGAAGGTCCCTTGGCCCAGTTGGTTAAGGCGTGGTGCTAATAACGCCAAGATCAGCAGTTCGATCCTGCTAGGGACCACTTATCTCAGGGCGTGTGGCGTAGTTGGTAGCGCGTTCGCTTAGCATGCGAAAGGTCTCCGGTTCGAATCCGGACTCGTCCATTCTTTTTTGTTTTCTTCACTGGTATTCTTTTTAATTCAATCTGAGGAGTTAAACAGGCCTCCCGTTTTGAGTTTGAGTGCACGTGATAAGAGCCTGCATATAGCTAAACTCACTCTATCATCGAAAATTACTATGGGGCCTCAGCCATCCATACTCCATAGGTGAATAGTTAGTGTGATTAGTTTTATACTTCTCAATACATTAATAAATCCATAACATTTTGTATCAAAGGACCAGATATGTCGACGTTTGACGAAGACGAGGCTCTTTTCGAGGACATCTAGTATGTACATCCATCACTCACTTTGTGACGAATACTAACTCAATTAGCGACGAGGATACTAAAACGGAGACAAAACCCTCTGATGCTGCGCCAAAGCTGGAAGAGGCTAATCCACCCACTCCCCAAGCAGCTCCTCCAGCAGCTGAGCCTCCCGCTCTGGAGCCTGTGATTACAGAACAACCTTCTCAAACCGCAGAGAGCAGTCAACCAGCTGCTGTTCCACCCAGTGAACAGCCAGCCGTCAATGCACCACAGACTGACAATTACGGTCAGGCTGTTCCTCCCCCTCCACCAGCTGCTGGCCAATACGGGTCAGGTCAGCCTCAACCGCAACAACCTCAGCAACCAGAACCCAGCAGAATGCCGCCCTCCAACTTGGGCAGAGATAGCGGCAAGATGTTTATTGGTGGCCTCAATTGGGATACCACAGAGGACGGCTTGGTGAGCTACTTTTCTAAGTACGGTGAAATTGCAGACTATACTATCATGAAGGACCCCAATACTGGAAGATCGCGTGGGTTTGGCTTTTTGACATTCAGAGATCCACGGGCGGTGGATGAGGTCATTAGGAAAGACCACATCTTGGACGGCAAATTGATTGATCCAAAGAGAGCTATTGCCAGGGAGGAGCAGGACAAGGTCGGAAAGATTTTCGTGGGTGGTATTGACCCCCTTGTGAACGAAAAAGATTTTAACGATTTCTTCTCTCAGTTTGGTCGCATCATCGACGCACAGCTCATGATTGATAAGGACACGGGTAGGTCCCGAGGATTTGGATTCATCACATTCGATACTCCTGATGCAGTAGATAGAGTTTGTGTTAACAAATATTTAACATTAAAAGGCAAGGCCATGGAGGTGAAACGTGCCGAACCAAGAGGCCAGCACCAGCTGAATCATAACCAAGGCTACCACCAGCAACAGCAGCAGCCCCCACAACAGCAGCAGCAACAGCAGTTTAACCCATACAATACATACGGTCAGTTCCCCATGCAAATGCCTGGAGGTAATAACATGCCCAACTTCCAGGGTGCTTCTCCGGAAATGATGCAAGAGTATTGGCAAAGAATGCAGTGGTATATGTTCCAGCAACAACAGGCTGCACAAGGCGAAGGTAACCAACAAGACCAGCCTCACCAGCAGCCTTTGAACCCTCAACAACAAGGTGCCGAGGATAACGAGGGCGACTACGAACTGAATGACACTGGAAGATACGAGAGTGACTATAGTGGTCGTGACAGTGGCCGTGATAGTGGTCGTGATAGCGGTCGTGACAATGGTGGCCGTAACGGCGGTGGTCGTGATAACGGTAGAGGACGCAGACCCAGCGACCGTACACCTCCTACTGGTCCAAGTGGTGACAACGGAGGTAGAAGAAACCTTCCAAAGGGCCCTAAGCGTGCCCCACCATCCGGTCCTTCTAGTGGAAGATCAAGAGGAGGCTACAAGCGTGGTGGATACCACCCTTACGGAAAGAAGGGAAGAAAATAAGTCATTCTAACTCCATTATATATTTGTGAAAAAAAGGTTCAACGGAGAGTTCCAGTTTTTGAAAACATCTGTTATTGCAGTCTTGCAAATTGTATTGAATAAAGATCTGTCTATTAATGCTGTAAGTTTTATCTCCTCTTGCCCTTGCTGCTTGGACGAGCATTCTTCGCTCTCCTCTTCTCCTTGAGGTTTCTCATCTTTCTGATTTGGTCCGTCAGTCTCAACTCCTCCTTCTGGCCAGGCCTGTTGAAACCCTTCACATTAACACCGGAATCAACAGCCTTGCCAACCTTCTTCTTCTGCTTGTGGTAGTCATCTCTGAACTTATCAGGTAATTTAGGAGCGGCAACCTTGTTGTGCTTGAATCTCTTGTTTTGCTTGTTCTCAGCAACGTTCTCAGCCATACCGGCCTGGGCTGACTGGATGTTTCTCTTCTTTCTCCATTCATCAAACTTACCAGAACGCAATGTTGCCGGAATCCTCTGACCCGATTCACTGATGATGTACTTCGTGTCATCAGCGGACCGAGAATTGATATACTTGCCCTTCTTTTTGTCCCATCTCATAACTTGCGACTGTTTCTGGACCTTCTCATCATTGTCCAAGTCGAAGGTGGCCGAAGCTGCATCGTTTGCAAACGATGACAAGCCGTAGTGCTTATCCTCGATAGCCTCTGCAGCAGGAACATGATGGCTCATGTAAAAGTTAGGGTCTCTGAAACTCTTCTTCTCCTTCTTCTTCTTTGCGATAAGTTCATCAGCGTCCTCAAAAGCATCCTGCAATTCCTCTTCATCTGCTTCCACAGACTTCACCGAATAGCCGACTTCGCCAGCATCGGATTTCAAAATCTCATCTTGGATACTATGAGTGAGGCCTGCTGCACGCTCTTGCTCAAGTAGTTCCCTTTTCTCCTTGGCTCTGCGTTGGAGTGGAGCTATTTGTCTGCGTCTCCTCTGCATCAACACAACCATGCCATCTTCCTCCTTCTCTCTTCCTTTCTTAGAAAATTCAAACACTGTCTCTTTGGTATTTCTGTTACTGAGACGTGCCAAAAATTTTTCTTTTTCTTTCTCCATGTTTGGCCCAAAAAGAAGATGCTGGTCATCCCAAGAATCAGCTTCCAACACCTCTTTTGTCCTCTTAACAGACTCAACCGATGCAGCTTGTCTTGTCCGGTGATAGAGTTTCTCACCCTTCGTTGCAACATCCTTCATCGTCTTGAGGTCGTAATTATTCTTCAACAAATTTTCATACATTTCTTCAAAAGTCTCCAATGGCCCACGCGGGAGAGACCCCAACACAAGCCTGTCGGCATATGACACTCTGGGCTCCTCATAGTCAGAGCCTTTGCTTTCTTTCAAGAGTTCACATTTCTTCTCATGCATTGAAGTGAGAAGGATCTTCTTGCCTAGAACAAGTTCAAGGTCGAGAAGGTAAGGGAGTTCCTTCTCATTCACAATGGAATACGCCCAACCCTTGTTACCAGCTCTGGCAGTTCTACCAACTCTGTGGATGAAGATCTTTGGCGAGGCTGGTAAAGTGAAGTTGATGACATTTGCAAGAACAGGAATATCAATACCACGAGCAGCGACATCAGTGACGACAAGAATACTTGTGAAGCCAATTCTGAAACGATAGAGCTGTTCCTTTCTCGCCCGCTGGTCAAGCGAACCATAAATGTAGGAAACTAAGTATCCGGCATCTTTAAGAAGACCAGCAATGTACTCAACATGGTGCTTTGTGGGAACAAAAACGATGGTGGAATGTGGGGAAGGCATAACATTAGCAGGCGGAAGTCTTTGTTTCTTAAATTTCTTCTTGGGCTTATCCTTGTTGTCTTCTTCATCATCGGAAAGCTCGTCGGCTTTTTTGCTCTCTGCCTTGACTCTGGCAAGCTCCTCTGGAGTGGCAAGTGGAAGCTTGACAACCTCTTGAAGAATATGCAACAATGCAGCCTCACGCTCAGTCTTCTTCGTGGTGAAAAATGCCATTTGCAAGTTTTCAGAGACCTTAGTTTCAGCGTCGAGACGCACCAAGACAGGGTTGGTCAAACCAGCTTTGGCGAAGTCAACTAAAGATCTAGGGAGAGTGGCGGAAAAAAGAAGCGACTGCCTAGATTCTGGTAAAGATGCAATCAATTCGTTCAATTGTTCTGCGAAACCCATTTCGAATAATCGATCAGCCTCATCGAAGACGATGTACTCGCAGGTACTCAAATCTAGCTGCATCTCGACCTTCAAATGCAAAAATCTACCAGGAGTGGCGACGATGATATCAGGATTTGTCATCATTGAAGAGAACTGTTCCTCCAAAGAATCACCACCAATAAGCACCAATGACCGTAAGTCAGTGCCACGGCTAAACTCCTTCACTTGTTTGTAAGTTTGCAAAGCCAATTCTCTCGATGGAGACAAGATAATAGCTCTTGCACCAACCTTGGCGCTGTGGGACTTGAGCTTCTCTATAACAGGTAGAACGAATGCAGCAGTCTTACCAGAACCAGTTCTGGCCATACCAACTACATCACGATTTTCCATGATGAGCGGTATCGTCTTTCTTTGGATAGGTGTAGGCTGTTTGAAACCTTTCTTGGCAATATTGATCAAGACAAACTTTGAAAGACCAAAAGATGCAAATGAACCAGCCTTAGCCTTCTTAGCAGTAGGGTTATTTTGGACAAAGTAGGACGATAAATCTTCATCAGCTTTTTCATCTTCCTCATCATCAGAAAGCTCAAGCTTTGGAAACGAAGGTTTGTTCGCTTTCTTGTCAGCATTCTTAGCATTTTTGGGTTTTGGCTTAACCTCATCACCCTCATCGTCTGAAGAAATCACATCTCTGATCTCTTCGTTGTCACTGAAGTCAGATTCAGAACTCGAGTCAGAAGCAGAATCTTGATCTTTGAGAGCAAGAGCGCCCGTAATATCAAAACCCTCGTCGTCAGACATAAATTGAAGTGGAGGTTATCGCTTAAGGTCCTAGCCACTTTTCCAGGAAGACCATCGCACTAGTATATGTGGTGCACGGATGTGCTGATAGGCGGGTTTGGAGGAAGGGTAAGAAGAAGAAAAGATGGAGAGACATTCTAGCATACTGGGTTCGTATCGATTTGTTCATTAAGAATCATTGACGAGTTTCGGCTTGTCCATGGCATTTCCAGAGCACCATGTAAAGCTGTATTCTAAAATTGCTTGGGAACATGGAATGTAGGTGACTGTTAGATATGATTGAGGAGTGGCTTTGGGGAAATGTGTGAATTGAGCTGCTCGGACAATGCGATTTTCAATTGACACTTATACTAGTATATTCTCAAACTCGTCCATATGCTCCAACTCATCTTGTTGAGTAACCTTCTTCACAACCTCTTTCTTTGACGATTCAGCAATATGACCGTCTAGGATTAGCTCGTCAAGTATATGGTAGGCTTTGGCAAAACCAAAAATGATATCGAGTTCGCAAACGTTGCCGTAGAGCTTGTCCATTTGCTCCACGTATCTATGAATGATCTCTAATGCTAACAAGCCGTTGTCCAGGGAATCAATGCCCATGATAAAGAATAATGATGCATAACGGCGATAAATGATTTTCATATCTTTGTACTCAAGAATGTTGCACATCTTTGCTCTTCTTGACAAAATCAAGGTGGTCAACTCCCTGGTGATAATGGCCTTCTCCTTTTGAGAGCTGGTGTGGTACCATTTTGATAATCTCACCTTTCCCTGCCTCGAGAGCAATAGCGTAAAGTGTATAGCCATTGTGTGTAAGTAGACGTAATGTGTCAAGATAGATTTGGTGTTAAGAGACGCAGTGTTGATACTTGGTCGATATTGCTTATATGCATGCCTGACGGGTTTTCTATAATTACAGACTTTTAAATATACCCTCAAACTATATGAATGGTCAACCGCTACTCAAGAGTATGCTCTGTTGATTTCAACCACTCTCTGTGTGTCTTGATTTCAGTGCAAAGAGCCTTGCGGTCTATCTCCTTGAATGCATTAATGTTGAGGTTGAGTTCACATAGAAGAGTGTCCATGTGACCCCAGACGAGTCCCTCAAAATCTGCTCCGGTTCTCTCCCTCATTCCGAGGCCGTAAAGACGATATCTGTTACCATCCTCATCGACCGTATCGTGTTCATTTTTCATAGACCATGGATTCAACTTTGGGACGTTCGCGTGAACGAAAAGCATTTTTGGTTTTTGGAGCTTCTTCACTTCTTCGTAGTAAGCGTCGCCCGAAAACTCTGTACGAAGCTTTTCCTTCTTTTTTTGCCAGGCAAGGTCCTCGACCGGATCGAACTGGCCCATACCATTGCCATTAAAAGCATCATTACGAACGTTTCCAAGGGCATCCAAGAATTTTCCAACTTGATAGAAGCTTCCTTTTGTGACAACAGTGGCGGCCAAAAAGGTTTCCTTGTCACCTTCTCCTTGCGCCCCTTGCGAGAAAAGGGGATAATAATGAGAAGGCCCATAGTAGTTGTAGTAAAGTGCTAAAAGAAGCTCCCTCATATGAGTCTTCTTGGATATCATGAGCTGACCAGATTCAGAGGAAGGCTCGGGGATCGCACCTACTCTCTCATGCAATGGTGTGTTATCAAGATCTAGTGGCTCCTGATATGTCTGTGGATGATATTCACCGTAAACTTCATCATACCGAGGAAGCAACTCAGTCTGACTTAGCTTCACGTTTGCGATCTTGAAATAGTCGGGTGAAGTGGATCTCTTCCAGAAGTCGGGCCAGACGATGAGACCACTGGAAACGAAAGGCTCCTTTTTGAATAGATGATCTGGTGCATATGCCGCTACATTATCACTGTCCAATAACAAGACGTTCTCGAAGCTTGAGAGCAAGATGGCCAAACACTTGTATTGGTACCCACTGAACTCCAACTTTGTTGCCGACAGTTGCTCGCCTCTAAATTGCATGGGGAGGTAGATACAGCGAGCATTCATCGCAGGGAATACCCTCGAACATAGCTCGAGTTCGTATTCATCGATGGTGGGGATCAAGATTTCGATGGGTAGCAAGCAACCTTCTGCTCTTAAAGCGCGGATGGAGAGCAATGTCAACCAATTGAACTTGCCTCCACCGACGTAGACGATACCATCACCCGAGTACAAGCCCAGAGGAGCCTGCTGTGGGAGCTTGTCAATGACGTAGTCGTGGGAGGCTTTGAGATCGTTGAATTCCTTATCTGAGAGCTTGAGGAAGCCGGACAAAAAGGTCTTGGAGTAGGTGGGAATAGATGTATCACGCAACTCATATCTCTTGGAGTCGAGCTTCTCGACGGGATAGTCTTGGGCCAAGACTGAATCCGGCTTTGCCTTTCTCACAGTGGTCAAGATGCTATCGTAAAATTTTTGACCAATCTCCAACTTCTGCTTGTTGGCCTTCAGTTTCGTGTAGTAGGAACGAATAAACTCGAGCTTCTTCTTATCTGACTCGGGCAAAGCCGAAGATTTCGGCGTACTAGACGGTTTAGAGACCTTTGGGTCATATGGAGTTGAGGAAGTTGAGGATTGCTGCTTGCGCCAATCACACACAAAACCAGGGAGCCAGCGACAAGAGTCATCGGGAGGCTTGACGGAGACCAAGGCCGCCAGCGACTCGGGCGTCCACTCCAAGCTTAGGGTGAGTAGGAAGATCACAGCAACCAGGGATGCAAGACACAAAGCAGTGACAACGCGGTGCCTTCTGGTGAGCCAGCGGGCCCGGACCAAAAGAGTGGACACAAAATCCATGGGCCAAAATAATGCTGATGTTTTTTGGATGCAGAAGTATTAAAGTATTAAATATCCCGAATGCTATTGGGTGGCATACAAGTTGAATCTGGTTTTCACCCTGCTATGCGCGGCATCACCAGGCGCGAGTCCTGTTAGTACGGGAGATGCAAGCTGTACAGGGACTCGCACACAAAAAAAAAAAAAGGGAAAATGAGACAATGGCTTAGGCCCATAGGGCGCGCCAATGACAGGCTTCTGGCGTGGACTAATTTAGCACCCAGGGTCCGCCGCAGTAGAATCTATTTTTTCTTCACCGTAGCACTGCCTCCAAAAATATTTTTGAAGGCTCTGTGCTCTTCGGATCGAGCTCCACTAGAGCAGGTCGTTCTGGATTGCTTCATAAAGGGGCGCACAGGAGATTCCGGAAAGTGTAAAGTCAGCCTCGGGGTTACAGGCGCACCTCTGACTTAAGAAGGCTTTGCCCTGTGGGCACTGTAAGTAAGGCGAGTGCAAGTACCCCATATCTCTGAACCACCAGATCTCGCTTTTTGCCAAAAGATGCGTCGCGGCGATTGTATGGACAGGAGCGTCGCCCCAGCGTTCGTAATAGAATCCGCCAGCACGGTCCAAGTGGTCAAAGTAGGCTTGGTACTGTGGGGAACGGAAGAAGTCTAAATCGGCGATCTCAAAATTCAGCCAAAAGTGGCAGAGGTTGTAGGAGCCGTCCGCGTTTTCCACAAAGCCCACCATATTGTCCAGTGGGAGTGACATTCTCGACATCCATTGTTTGCTAATCTCCCAGAGAGAGGTGATTGTGTCTCTGTATTCGAAAAGCGAGATGGTGAAGCCGTACTTTTTATCATTTTCCCGCATGAACCTGAAGACATCGTAATCTATGTCGCAGTAGTACTTCACCCCAGGCTCTAGCCGCCAATAGTACTTATAGGCGCTCAAGAGTGGATGCTTGTAAAAGAAGCCTGAGTAATAGCGACACATGTTTCTGTAGCTGTTAGAATCTGCTTTGTACACGTTCTTAGCAACCAAAGCCTGCTGCTTCTTTGCAGCCTCTGCCAGATCAATCCACGACGGAGGCCCCCATTGTTCCTTGGGAATCTGGCCAAAACTGATCATCCCGCCAGGCATTTGCAGCACTATTCCGGTCATAAAATACTCGTCAAAAGGCTCATCATTAAGAAACACCCAGTCGTGGCAGAACTGGTGGGTGTACCTGTCCTTAATGCTCTGCATTGTCTCCAACAAAGAGTACAACTCGTCGTTGCGGCAAAGGACCACGAAAGTTCCATTTTCAGGTGATCGTGATTCACACACGGCGGTTTGGTCAACAGTTACGCTCAAGAGGTCCAAACCAGCTTGGGCGACTGTGACATGCTGTTCGAGGTAGCTTTCCAAGTCTATGACTATGGCCTCGAGAGGTTCATCTTTGGGCCATATAAACGGCATGAGCGGAACCAGCTCATCATCTGTGAAGCCGCTGGCAACGACGTGACCTAGTACACCGAGTACTAGGCAGAATGCCACAAAGAGCATGGATACTGACGATCTAATCCATATACAGACTGAGGATGTAGCTACTGGAGTAGGATGAAGTTACCAACATTCCTGGAAAAAACCGGTGGTATTCATGGTAAGAAACTCAAAAAGAAAGAAGTATTGTCACCAGATGCTTCTTCAAAAGCCGAGTTTGCTGCATACGGTGTTAGTTTTGGCATGAGCTCGTTATTGTTTGGCCGAAGTGGTGAAGAAATGGTGCAACTGCCGCGATGACAAAATCCACCGTCCGTGGCATCCATCAAAGTTTGAAGAACACAAGTCCTAACATAACCACGAAAAATCTAAAATTTCACGATCTCTGAAGCTGGTTGTATTCTCTGGCTGCGAAATAACCAGGCACGGGCTCAAACTCGAGGCCACGAGTCCGGGTCGGGGCAGAAAAAGTCCAACAGTAGAGTTCAAAACATTTTCGTTGACACAGTGAACTCAAATGTCTTTTGTCTCTTTGTAATCAGCCGTTGGCTGGGCAGAGCGCCAATGCGAAATCTAGTTGCACCAGGGCCTAAATTCTGCAATGCCGCCCAAACAGTGAACAGGGTCCAAAACGGAAAAAGCATAACTGGAAAGTCTCAAATTTACTTCTACGTCAATTCCAAAAAAGCTTTGGCCATCATTCACTCAATGTCGACCAAATCGATCAAACTGCGCTAGGCGGTGTTTTTCGATATCGGCGTGGGACTCGTGGGCCCTGCCGCGATATCAACCCATCTCAATACACATACTGCCCCAGACTCTTTTTTCTCCCTACCAACAAGTCGCTTTTCCGAGAACTACCCTCGAAATCCGACCCACCCCAGGCACACCACTTTCGCCACGCTCAAGCCACTTATTGCTTTTTGCCTGGACTATTATTTATCAACGCCTTACATGATTCATTCCTCTTCTCTGCCACTGGCTTGCCTTGTACAATGGACCACATGAAGAGCCCTTTCCCGCTGGTTGAGCATCAGCTAGACAGAAGGGCCGAAGATGATGAGAGAGAAGTCACGCTGGTGGCAGGCAGAAAGGCTGCTAGGCTGATGAACCTATTCAGAGGAGACGGTCACAATGTTGATGCTTTGATCGACCCCACCGACCAGGAGCCAGCAGTGTCCCGGAAGGCATCGCTCAAGAAGCCTGAAACTCTGCTGCAGGGTGATTCGCCTTCCTTGGAGCCCGTATCCTCGGCCACGTACATCCCACACCACCCGGTGAAGCTTAAGGAGGGCCCTTTTGACACCCTCAGCCCAGACAACAACCTCCAGCATCTCACCGCCGACGTTGAGTTTGACCGAGGCTCGGACGGTGACATCACACGAATCAAAAAACGCACCCCCGAGCGTCGGACGAGAAAGACAAAAGTAAACTTCACCGGCCTTGACGACGAGAATGGCTGCAACAACCTACATGACGACTTCATGGCTGTGAACCTCAATGAGTCTGCCTCTGTTTCTGATCACGGTGACACCAACACTCTTGCATCCATCAAATCCAATGAAGCTTACCCGCTCACAGTAGAGCTACGGCCTTTCAGAAACAAGGTGGGTGGCCACACGGCCATTTTCCGTTTCAGCAAGCGGGCAGTCTGCAAAGCTCTCATGAACCGTGAGAATGTTTGGTACGAGGCAGTTGAGAAGAGGCATCCTGAATTGCTTAAGTTCCTTCCCAAATACATTGGCGTGCTCAATGTGCGCTACTCCAGCATTGTATCAGAGGATGCCAACTCCCCACTGCTAGTGCCTTCGGAGTCAACTCGTGAGGAGATGCCACACGCAAGGCAATCCCTTGATGGGAACAAGCCCAATCGCAGATCACGGCTCAGCGAGGACGGCCCACCACCGGAGGTCTCTCTCGATGACAACCTCCACATCATTCCTGATCTTTTACGCAAGCATTACTCCAGCAGTGCCCCAAGCATCGGTGCTCTGGACGAGATGTCGTGTTCCATTGAAGGTCATCCTGAGGTTTTCCCCTCGACTCCACCAGAAAATAATGGCTACGACGCCAGCATTGGATCAACTTCCGTTAACCAAGATTTGCAGGCTCAAATCATACAGGAAGTATTCGTTCCCCCTGGTACCAAGTCGGATGATATTTTTGAAATGGATCATGACGATATCGGCAATGAGGACCACGACAGCCTGAATGAACACGCCGAACGCCCAGACGAAGAAAGGCACGTTTTGCGAAAGCATACACGATTCGAGAGATTTATCCTCCTTGAAGATTTGACTGCCGAGATGCAACGTCCCTGTGCACTCGATCTCAAGATGGGTACCCGTCAATACGGACTCGAGGCGACGGATGCAAAGCAGGCATCCCAACGCAAAAAGTGTGCCACAACGACCTCTCGTGAACTTGGAGTTCGTGTTTGTGGCCTCCAGGTTTGGGATAGGTCGAAGCAAAAATACTTCATGAGGGATAAATACTTTGGTCGTAAACTTCATTCAGGCCTTCCCTTTGCCAAAACGTTGGCTAAATTTCTCTACGATGGCATGTCTGCATTTTCTATTATCTGCAAAATTCCACATATCATCAAACAGCTTGAGGCCCTTATCGAGATATTCAGCAAGCTTGTTGGCTACAGAATGTACGGCCTGTCAGTGCTTTTGATGTACGACGGTGCCGGTCCCGAAGACACGCAAGTAAGAGCCAATATTATTGACTTTGCTCAAAGTGTTCTTGGAGACGAAACCTCGATCCAAAGTTACCGCAAGCCGCCTATGCTCTCTGGCAAGCCTGATATGGGGTATCTACGCGGCCTCAAGTCGATCCGTCGCTACCTAAAAGTCATCTTTAAGATAATTACGGGAGACGACTACGACAGCATAACCAAGCATCTTGAGGAGTACTTAAAGACCAACCGTGATCGCTTGAATGAGCCATACGTTTGGGTTGAAGAGTTTGCGGAGTCAAAGGAATGTGCCGATTCCATGGACGCCTTTGATATCCATTATGATGATCGAGCCGACGATGACGACTATGTCAGCGAGTAAATATAGAAATGCACGATCTACGAAACGCATACGTTATTTCTTTTATTGTTTGCCAGACACCGAAGTTGGTGCCAAAACTATTATATTAACAATCTTCGCCAACCACTCCAGAAGACCGATGCTACGAGAATGCTTAATCGGCGTTTCTCTTGGCCACCTTCTTGGCGTGGGTGGTCTGAGTACCGAAGACCTTCTTCTCTCTGTTCTTCTTCTGCTTTCTCTGCTGTCTGGAAGACTTCTCAACCTTCTCAGCCAAACCGTATCTAACCAATCTGTAGGTTGGCTCGAATCTCTTGGCGTCAGCAACAGACTGGTAGATCAAGCCGAAACCGGTAGACTTGCCACCACCGAAGTGAGTTCTGAAACCGAAAACGGAGACAGCGTCCTTGTCAGCCTTGTACAACTCGGACAACTTCTCTCTCAACTCATCCTTGGAGACGTTAGGTCTGTTTGGGTGCAAGACGTCAATGACGAACTGTCTTCTGGCCAACAATGGGTTGGTGATAACCTTTCTAGTTCTGATAGTAACAGCGTCACTCTGGGAAGTTAGTACTCTATGTTTAAATGGACATGAACATCACCAATAAAAAAAAGACACAATGAATAATATTTCGGGTTGGAGTTTTAAGCTTGTGGAATAGCTGGTCTGCTTATTGGAGTGATGCTTTGTTGGATTTCACATACCATCTTGTGGATACTGGTTAAAGTTGTGGAGACGAAAGGATGAAAAAATTCTCACTACAGTTTTTTTCGTTTTCCTTGGAGGAGGTACTGCGCTGCCGCAGTGAGGGAGAGATGGTTCTGTGTGCAGGTGAAAGAGGTGTCTTTCGCAGTCACACGCGGCACGTGAGAACCTACCCGTACTCCACGCTTACAGTGTAGCACCATAGTCAGGCTTCAATAAGAATTTACCATAAAAAAAGCTAATGAAGTATCTCTCTCAGAGACGTCGACGCTGTGTTATTATAAATAAAATCAATTTTGAGTTTTGTAGTGTATTCTAAGGATGCTCCCGGGCCGAAGTACAGGTTAGTAGCTCGACAATGTTACAATTGAAGAAAGAAGAGCAATTTGCAACAGATATCGGAAGGCTGCTGAACGGTTCTCGTGACTAGAGTCATTGATATCTATTTGAAGAGGCAGTGAGTCCCATTCCTAGTCTTAGATTATCAGATATGCCTTCATACAGCTAGTTGGACAATGTTCTATACGTGATTAAAGGAAATAACAGTATAATACTTTTTACTAGAATTGGACTGGAATGATTCCAGTGTTCCAATAGCATGTGTTCATTTGCGTAATCGAAAACATAGCTCATGCCCGGTTTTCGCAGCCATTTATCAGTGTCAACTTTGTACTACACCCTACTATCTCGATAAATCATGAATATATTTGTCAATTTGCTTAGGCGAGAATCTTCATTCTGACGGCCTTGGTCTGGGTGTAGTTGTCCAAGACTTCCTTACCCATCTCTCTGCCCATACCGGAAGCACCGTAACCACCGAATGGAACCATTGGGTGGAAGTCGTTGTAGGTGTTGATCCAGACAGTACCAGCCTTAAGTCTTCTGGCAACATCGTGGCACACGTGCACGTTCTCAGACTGAATACCAGCAGCCAAACCGTACTCGGTGTCGTTAGCCAACTTAACAACCTCGTCCACAGTCTTGAACTTGTGAACAGTGATGACAGGACCGAAGATCTCCTCAGTGACAATCTTCATCTTCTCAGTGACGTCACCAAAGATAGTTGGCTTGATGAAGAAGCCCTTACCCTCAGATCTCTCACCACCAGACAACAACTTGGCACCTTCAGCCTTACCAGCATCAATGTACTTCAAGATCTTGTCCAATTGGTTCCAAGAGTTTTGAGCACCCTGCAAAGTGTCCTCGGCGAATGGGTCACCGACCTTGACAGCCTCAGCAGCGGCAACAAACTTGGAAACAAACTCATCGTAGATACCCTCTTGGATGTACAAACGGGAACCAGCACAGCAGACCTC